TGACCAAGTCTTGTAAACTTAAACTTGTACCAACAGAAAAGCTTGTTCCTTGCTGACACTGATTTGAAGCCTCTGATAGACCACTTGCCTCTACCTGAAAGCATAGCAACCACGTTGGTGTTGGACAGAGCTTGTTTGAGAAAATGAAAGGCAAGCTAAGGGCTCTTGCCTCACCAAATGACATGCAGATAAAAGCAGATACCGTAGTGAAGATTTTCTGTAACTGGGAAAATTGACACTTTTTGGGAAGGTAGAAAAGATGATGGGGGTGAAGTGAAAATGAATTGGGAAGTCGAGAAAGAAAGGAGGAAATGGATTAAAATGTATAACTGAAAAGTAACAGAATCTGAAAAGCAGTTTTGAATCTGTACTTTTTATTGGCATGTGGTAATTTACTTGACTACTGAAGCTCCAAATGGAGGCTAAGGGTCTCAGGTCACACCTGTTGCACTGAGTGAGGTTCATGATATATGTCTGAGTGACCTTTCAGGGCATGCCGCAGAGACATCAGTTCTACCGAAATGAAACATAAATATACTCCTCCTCCTCTTTGACACACACACACACACACACACGCACACACACACACACACCACCCCAAAACCTTTTTATCTGTGAGCTTCCAACATTTGGGTTGGCACCTGTTAGTCCAGCTGTAGTGTCTTTACAATAATGTCTTTGCTAATAAAAGATGAACAAAGTCAAGCCCAAACTCAGCTGTTTCACAATTTAAGTTTTACTCTATTATCACTCCCTATTCTTTCATTTATTGAAAATACATTTTGAACATCAACTACATGCTCTTCCATTCTTGGAAAAACAATCGGAGCAAAGGAAGTGAGACCTCTTGGAGCTCGACTTCTAGTTGGGAGAAATAGGCAACCAATCTTTGAAAAGTGAGTAGATCGTCTGTCTGGGGGCTAGAGAGTGACAAGATGGAAAAAAGTTGCTTTTTTTATGCAGCACAGTCAAAAAGGGCCCTACCTGATCAAACGTCATTCAAGTAGATAAGCAAAAGCAAGTGAAGGAAGAAGCCAATGGAATAGCTCTGGAAAGAGTATCTCAGACCGAAGGCTTAGTGGGTACAAAGACTTTAGCTGGGTGTGTGCTTCTTGTGTAAAGGAACAACGAGAAAACCAACATGGCTAGGCCAGAATAAAGGAGCATGGAAGAGAAGGGTAGGAGATAAAGTTAGGGAGGTAACAGATCATCCACAGTCTTCCGGGCCTATGTAAGGAATTTGGATTTTTTGGGTTTTTTTGCATTTTTTAGACTTTGTATGTTTTTCTGAGTGAGAGAAAAAAAAAAGCCATCTAAGGTTCTGGCAAAGGGATATGAACTGACTTAGAACTGGATGTTGAGAACAGAGAGTGAATTGTGCTAGTATGACCTGTACGTACGTAAGTGAGGGAGACAAGCATCCAGGTGTCTTTGAGAGTGTTTGAGACAAATAAGTGGATGTTAAATTGCTGAAAGAAGACAATTTTCACCATCCTTATAATAAAAATATCAATGGTGTGTATTTCCATGATAAAAGACAAAAGCACTCTAGAAATTAGCCTTGAAAAGTATATTCCTATACAAAGACAAATTCAGTTTTGACACGTGATTTCCTTACTTCAGTGACACTGAACTCTCAAGTGCATAAGATTGTGCAAGAGCTTTCTGGAATTAACTATTCGCTTTCTGGCACAAATTTGTGAGGAAATGCAGGTAACAATCTAACAGGTCTAACGCTGGTCTAACGACCAGCACCTCTTCTTCATTCACTCAAATGAATCCATTACTTCTTCTTCTTGCCTCAGCTGCCCAGTTTCTCTAAAGTAAATAAAAACTCTGTTCCAACCGGCCTAGTAAAAGTCTCAAAAACTTGCTTCATCCTTGAGCATGCACTGTTTGGAAAACATTAAATCCCTAAACATTTTCAACTCTTGGAAGTCATTATGTGAGTAACGATCGATGGTTTAAAAAAAGCAAAGAAATACCTGACAGAGGGCTGTTGCTACTGTGGTGGAATTAAGAAATGAGGGGGAAAAGTGTTGTCAATTGTTCCATGCAAAGTATGTAATATGCTAGAGATATCACTGAGGTAAACATGTCTTCTGGTGAATATTAAGTATTTTTTAAGTGATTGAAGGATATGCTAAATGTTCAGTTTTTGACCAGATTTTGACAATACAGAATTATCAGAATTTAGTGTTGACATGGCCTCCAACCCTGAGGCATTATGCTGAAATATAACAAGGAGTCCTAGGTTAGTACGTTCCAGAGAGCTTGTTCAGGAGTTCTCTCCGTGTGTGACTTACACATATGCATGTATACACGCGTAAATATACAAAATAATTTCACACACTGTAAAAAAATTTTAGACAGCTACTTTAAATCCAGGCTTCCTCACTGACTATTGGTTCTGTCTTACCCTCGTGGGATGCTCAGAGACCTAACAGGAGCCCAATTCTGAAGTCAAAAGGAAGGCTTATTCACTAAGTTCTCAGTTATATTACATAAGAAATATGACTACGATTCAACAAATAAATGTGAATGCAGTTTTGATTGTAATTCATGAATGTCCTATTCCCTGAATTTCCTTAGCCTAGATCCGACACACGCTGAGTGAAAGGTAAAGTCTGAGGAACATCTACATTCATAGAGCATCACTGGAACTTTCTCCATTTCCTGTCTGACAAAGATAATGCCTAATGCAGTGTTGGACGAGGTACCAATAACCACTGCCCTGAGGGTTGTCTTGTCAAGCTAGGTCTTGGTGCCTGGACTGGAGGAACAGAGAGCCTAGGACTCAGTCCTGTCTATTCAGTTGCTGGTATTTTCCCCACATGGGAAGAGAGTAAGGTGTGCAGCCCTACTCAGGTTGAATTCAATAGGAAATGGTGGCAGGTAGCAGGCTCTGTCTGGCAAGGGAAGAAATGAGTGGGACTGGAAGGAGATGCAATGTATTTGAGAAAAGGGCTCCACAGCCCTACAATCCACTCCATTCCCTACTTCTTCATCCCTCTTTTCCATAAATAAAAAAGGATAGCCTTTTCTTCACTGGTTTTTCCTATTTATTAGTGTTCCTGTCAACCTTCCCTAATCCAACGAATCTAATAAACCCACAAATGGTGATATGATAAAGCATGTTAAATGGTTTGTGCATTTAAACGTTCTCTCAGATAACATTTACTTAAACGTAAATCCAACCTCTGTAAATATGTGTTAACCGAAGAAGTGATTCAGATTTGAACCCCCATGGTAAAATGGTTAGGAGACAGCATTTTTGAAAGTTCTTATTTTAGTGCAGCTGCCTTCATCAACCACAAGAATACTTCTTCAAAGATCTAAGTGAAAGATTTTCCAAATGTTATATAGTTGATCCTTCCCTGAACAATGCAGGGGTTAGGGGTACCAAACCCCCGCACAGTCAGAAATCCACATATAACTTTTGACTCCCCCAAAACTACTACTAACCACCTACTGTTCACTGGAAGCTTTACTGATAACATAAACAGCCAATTAATACATATTTTGTATGTTCTACGTGTTATATATTCTATTCTTTCAATAAAGTAAGCTAGAGAAAAGAAAATATTATTCAGAAAATCATAAGGGAGAGAAAATACATTCATAGTATTCATACTGTACTCTATTTATTGAAAAACATTCCACGTAGAGGTGGACCTGAGCAATTCAAACCTGCATTGTTCAAGAGTCAACTTTAGTCAGTAAGAATCACCTGGAGAAGTATGCAAATAGCCATCACTCAGCTATAAAACAATTAAAACAGAATATCTATTCATACACTCAATAACATGGATGCATCTAAAATATGCAGTGTTGAAAGAAGCCTATCAGTTACAAAAAAGAAAAATACCATTTATTCCACTTGTATGTACTTTAAGATAAGGCAAATCGTGGTATTTTTCCTCTGGGTGTGTTATTACCTGAAAAGCAGCATGAAATATCTTTTTAGAGTAATGGAAACTTTGCTATATCTTGATTCTGAATGGCAGTTACATGGGTATATTCATATGTAAATATTCATCCAGATGCAGCACTACAGATTTCTGTACTTTACTGTTATGCTACAGTTTTAAAAATCACTTGCGGTACTTGCTAAAATAGACATTCCTGGGCTCTCCCGTGGGTATGACTCAGCAGCCCGGTAGTCCCAGGAATCTATATTCTTAGTAAGCCCTAGTCTATGGACCACATTTTCAAAAACCACAGGGCTAAAATTTTGAGGGACTGTATACCTCCAGGGAGAACTCAAGGCTAGTCTGGGTTCTCTAGTCCTTCTAACTTGATAGCTGTATTATGATGTATGAGCTCATACAGTTTCAGCTGAATTCTTTTTTATTGTGAATCAAATCATAATTCTATTACTAAATTACTATTTTTTTTTCATTCAAGTCAGCAAGAGGAAAGAATTTGGGGATGGTATGGAATTCTTTAGGTTATTTCCTGACAGCTATCAGAAACCATGCTCTGCAGTCCTTAAAACCTCTCCATCCTCTGCCCTCAGCCCACCTGCAATTCTGTTCCCTGTTGAGCATCAAGTCTTGAGCTCAAATCCAAGGGATATAGTATAAGGAGTCAACTTTGAGACTACCTGTTTAAATCAATTGGCTTTCATTTATTAACTGTAAACAATGCTGGGTTTTGACATGCAACTATATTCTAAAACTTTTAAAATAACTTCCTTTCATTTAGAAAATGAATATATACTTTTTTCCCCTCAAAATTCTCCCAGTGATTCTCACAGGGATGCAACTGTTAAGCAAGAATTCAAACTTAAACACAATTATTGCAAGATTTGCATTGAAGTCTATATAGCACATGAATTTAATTTTCTTCAGTTTTGATTTGCTTACAGGTAATTCAACTCAAGATACAATAATCATTTTGCTGAATTCCTTTTCCAAATGTTGAAGGTGTTCGAGGATGGTCGTTGAACTAAAAATAAATTTGACTTTACAGATACGATAGCTAATTTTATTCTCTTAAGTCTTTGACCTGCTCCGTTTCCGACCTGGGCCGGTTCACCCCTCCTTAGGCAACCTGGTGGTCCCCCGCTCCCGGGAGGTCACCATACTGATGCCGAACTTAGTGCGGACACCAGATCGGCATAGCGCCCTACAGCCCAGAACTTCTGGGCTCAAGCGATCCTCCAGCCTCAGCCTCCGGAGTAGCTGGGACTACAGGCGCGCGCCACTGCGCCCGGCTATTCTCTTAAGTCTTCTTTAATCTGTTAAATTACATCAATATTGTATGTAAAAAATTCCTTGAAAATATAGTTTGCTTGATTTTACTAAGATGCATTGACTTAAATGGAAATACATTAAATTAGAAACATAATGCAAATGTATCATTGAGAATATAAATATACTGATTAATGGCCCTGTTTTTCACAAAAACTTTAAAGAAAAGAAAGTGAGAGGAAAAGGAAGAGAAAGGAGAGAGAGCAAGCACGGGTAATGAAGATTTTAAATGCACTGAATTTCTGTTGCACATGCTCATTTTAATAGACACATTTGGCGGATTAAGAATTAAAGTACTGGCTAACTTCATAGCTAAGACTGCAAACTTCTGGTCAGATCAACCCAAAATGAAGGCTTAGTTAGCTTCATTACTTTAAGTAACTATGAAACTTTGGTCAAGTTACTTCATTTCTTAAAATAATGGTACTTATATTAAGTTTGCTCTAAGAATTAAATTAGATAATACTTAGAAATGGTAAATACAGTGCCTGGTATATAGTAATTGCTCAAAAAGAAGACAAAAGTATTCCTTTTTAGAGCCAAAACACAACACCTAATTCAAGATGATGCTCCTGAATTTCACTACTTTAGCTCTAAAATATTCTATAAAATCTAATTTGAAAATAAAAGAGGATGCATTTATTTCTAAGACTTATTTTAAAATCATAGCTAATAGCTAACAAGGAATTTTGCCTTTCTTGGATTTACCACAGATGTAAAATCCTAGTATATATACAAGGTTCATAAGTATATTAGATATTCTGGGTAACAATTTACTTTTTTACTAATAGATTTTAATAACTAAGGTCCAATAGTAAAATTGAACCAAACAAAAAAAATCTACCTTAACTAAACCAGACTAAGGTAATTCAAACTAAGCCAAACCAGAGTCCAACTCACAGAAGAAATGGCATAAAACTGAAAGCAAAGACCATACAATGTTTAACAAATTCTTAAAAATACCCAGTTACAATTCTGCCTTTCCCATTCTTTCTACCTAGAGTAGCTTGGAGAACTGAAACTAATGGTGTTTCCAAAGGAGTTAATTCAAAGAAACAATGTTAAAAATAATACAGCAGAGGGGTGCCTGGGTGGCTAAGTCAGTTTCACTCTTAGTTTCAGCTCAGGTCATGATCTTGAGATCCAGCCTTGCCTTGAGCCCCTCATGGGGCCCTACACTCAGCAAGGCGTCTGCTTAAAACCTCTCTCTTTTCCTCTCCCTCTTCCCCTACCCCTCCACCTCAAATAAATTTTTAAAATCTTAAAAAAAATAATACAGGAGAAAATCTCTTAATTGCCCTTGCAGAGGACTATGAATTTTTCTATTTCTGTAAACTGCCAGAGGAGAAACAGCTACTTTGTAGAGTTGTGTTATTACTTGTTCTTTTTAAAAATTAGATGTGGAATGTTTAACTGACCCTTAAATTTAATGTCAATAAACCCATCAATAAACATTTTTTTTAAACTTTACAAGGTTTAAAGTGCTCTACCGAATGTTTGGTAGTTATTCAGAAATGAAAACCAAAGGTTACAACCTAGAGGGGGAATCAGATACCCATGAAATGATGACCAGTAAAACAACATAGCATAGGATAAATTAGAACTGGGGGTGGTCGAGATCAGAAATGTCACTGAGGATCAGATGGGGGAGCATGCATTTCAAAAGAGTTGTCAGAGTTGATGAAAAGTTCAGACTAAACTTTGGAAAAAGGAAGTGTAGGCAGGTGGGGAGGAGGGTGACAGGGGAGGAGGGAGAGAATAATGCAGGTTAAAGAAACATGGCAGATATGAAATGATTGCTCTAGGATACAGCCTTTGTCTTGTCACAGATCCAGAGACTATTAAAGCCCGATCAGTAAAACAGTATTCAGTAAGCATCTTATTGCGCACGCACGCACGCGCGCGCGCGCGCGCACACACACACACACACACACACACAAAACAACAAAACATCACTGTGTGAACTAGGAGTCTTCAAATCCCAAACCAATAAGACGCTCAGACGCCTGCCATAACAGGGCGGCTTAGAGAGAGTGAAAATGAGGAAGCTGTTCAACCTTCACCAGGAGTGGTCCTTACAGCCAGGGCTTTGAGGCAGCAAGGGATTGGGTGAAAGTAATTATCTTACACCAGTTTAAGAGGATGACTTAAGTTTCTTCTTATGATTATCAGAGGCATTTACAAGAAATAACCTAAGTGAAGTTTCACTTATATTCATGAACTATGCTAGATTTAGTTTTACTTAAGTGGCTTAAATGGTTTTGTCTGCTTGGAGGATTTTCAAGCCTGGTCTCAATTTTATTTTATTGTAACCATCTCTAAGCCACAGCAGCCCATGGGTCAAAACTGGAGCGACTTTTTGTTCTGTTTCCACAGGTCTAGCCCTCCATCAGAGAAATTGCTGGGCTTTCAGGCCTGTGCAAATTGCACACTCGGCTTCCCACCCTGTTACCTCTGAGGGTCCACATGGGCTCGCTGAACACCCTCTGCTCCCACATAGTACCTATGACTTCCTGCTCCCCGCAGCAAAGATGAAGAAACCTCCCCTGTTGCTTTCCCTCCTCGGGGACCTCACCACCCCCTCAGGTACTGCTGTCTCCCTGGGGGAGGCCATTCCCACCACAGCTGAGGCATGGAATGTCTCAAGGCCAGATGCACATCACCGGCCTCCCCAGTTTACACTGGCCAGAGGCACGGGTGGGGTGGGGAGAAGCCCAATCTCTTGGCATCGTGCTGTCTGCTCGGCTGCATGGGCCCAGAAATAAGACGAACTTGGGCTCCTCCCAGGGCTCTCAGGGAAAACAACTCATTCTCTCTTTTTCATACCAGAATTTCTCACCTCAGACCCCACTCGGGGATTGATGAGAGTGGGGCTAGATGACAAGTCACAACTAGAGATCTGAAGCCCTTAGGGGTTTGCCGTGAAGAATAATACCATTCTGTAGACAAGTTATTGAAAGAACATGATTTTCAGAATGCAGCAGTGGTCACCAGACAAATTTGCCCTAAATGAAGGCAGAGGTTTCCTCCTCTCAGTTTATCATTTTTGGAAGCAGAACCAGACTGGCTTGGGTGCTTTATTAATGTAATGGGGGAGGGCAGGTAGCCCTGGGGCTGTGTGCCAGGAAACCTGAGCTCTGGTCCCAACTCCACCTCTCACCCGGTGTGATCTTAAAGGTCATTTTATGACTTTGGATTTCAGATTTTTTTAATCTGAAAAAAAAAAAAAAGATTGGCTTAAATGGTCCTCCCCCCCTAAAATTCTGTAAGTCTATAAATATATTAAAGACCATTATATTCCAACGTGTTTGAAAATAACAATTCAATCGAAGTAAGAATAGTAGTTCTATGTGGGATCCTTGAAATTCTTTGTCAATTTAGCCCTGTTGATTTAATATGTAAAGTATTATCAAACAATACCATGAATGAATATTAATCAGCAATCTCTGGAGACAAGAAACGAAAACATTTTAAGATCTCTTTAAGTCAACATAAAACTGCTTCCAGACCTCTTCCTAGTTTACTCTTCTACCCTCTGAAAGAAAATTCTATTTTAATCAGTGTTGGGATCCATCCTTTCAACAAGACAGCCCCAGAAACTGGGGAGATTACATAACTTCTGAAATATGGCCAGGGCTTTCAGTCTCTACGTGCATTATAATGACTGCTGCTATCCCCGTTACCTAGAAACTCTGAGCTAATCGTGAGGACACGGGCATCTCTGCAAAGGCTGGAAGAGTGTTGGTGGCTCTGTCCAGGGCCCAGCCTTCCCACCGTGTGCATTGTGCTTCTGTCCCCTCTGAGGTTTTGCCTTCTCCACAGGGCTTTGCTTTCTCCACAGAGCAGAGGGGCAGGGCCAACTGACCTTTGTTTATTCGTGGTCTCTAGGCATTCTCTCCTTTTTTCACTCCTCTATCCATCTTCACTATGTGTGGCATTTACTGAACAAAGAAAATTAGGCTATTATCTGATTTCTCTCCTGCGAAATTATCTAAGGCAATGAATATGTAGGTCTGCCTACCTGCTTAAATGGGAGGAGAGGAAATTAAGGAAAAACCACACACACTTTAATATCCCAATAGGCTGTCTTGCTTACACCTGCTGGCTTTAGAGGGAAAGGTAAAGGATTCAGTTAACATAAAGCAAGGATGAAGACTAGCACTGGTTCAAGGAAATCAAACCAAGTTAATGGATGCTCTTTTGTTGTTTTTAAATTTGCATCTGGGTCCGGCAGATAATCCTCTCTAGTTCATATGGCCAAAAAGAGAAGACAAAACAAAGTGAGAACTTCCAAGTCTAAATGAAGACAATCACACAAAATTCTTAATTCAAAATCACAAGTACAAATTTCTGAACAATCATAGTAAACTGTCTAGATTTGCCTCTTCTCTATCCAAGCAGATTTCTCTCCCCAGCCAACCAATGCTCCCTGCCTGCTTCCATACTTGACTTTTGGATTATTTTGCTCAGCAACAGTGTCCTGCCCGGTGGGAGATGAATTAGGAAGGCTATTGCTAAGGTTGTCCCAACTATTATTTCTTTGGTGCAAGAATGCCTGGTGGGACTATTCTTTGGCCTCCCTTTCCAGCTTCCTTGGCCCTGTGAGTTGCTGCTTCCTTCATTCTAGACTACCCAGTGTACCCTTTAACTTTTGCGAGATTTAGTCTCAGGAAAGGTTCTGGAAAGTTTCTGCCTGTGACTTGCATGTGTTTCTGAGCTCTGTCCCCAGGGGCTGCTGCTAACGGCCTTCCCTTACTCCCTAACCCAGTCTTCTACCTACATACAAGACACCAAATGGACGTGCATGCCTACTCTGACAGGGAAACACTCTCCCATCAACTCTGTGTTCATGTAGTATCCCTGAAAGGTTTGTAGGGAGCACACACTACATATTAATACAAACACAAGAAGTACAGCTTGCAAAGTGAATGATTATTTAGATAATCCGATGACCCAGATTTTCTCCAAGAAATATTTTCCATTTGCCTGGGCACTTGTCAACACATATTCACAAAACAGGGTCAAGATCAGCTTTGTTCTTCACAGAAAAATAATTTGATGAACTTTCTGATGATCACACATTTGATGGCTCTGGAACATTGTAAGCAATATAGAAAAGAAAGCGCCTAATGTTTTGTTAAGAGTATGTCACTTTAGTTGTAATGTGGCTCTGGATATACTGTTGCCACCTGCTCAGCAAGATCCTGGGAAGACAAAGAATTTCCTGAAGGGAGGGATTTCTATTAAGTAACATCCTCTTAGCAAGGTCACTTGTCTTATATGCCACACAGCTGGGCACCTTGGAAAGAAAAATAAAAACAAAGAAAAAGCAATCAAAACACCTCATCTGTTTCCAATCCTTCATCCACAAACTACAAGAACCCTGATTAATAATACATAAGTACCATATAATATTGTAATGGAGATCATAGAGAGGCTGAATCAGACATTTAGCTAGTTAGCCTCTCAAGCCTCAGTTTCCTGACCTCTATACATGATCAATATCTGTACAATAACAACTTACCTTGTAGTGTTGATGTGAAAGATACACTAGACCCCACCAAAATTAAAAACTTTTGCTTCACAAAAGGAGAATGAGAAGACAAATCACGGAATGGGAGAATGTATTTGTAAATTATATATCTGACAGGGATTTTGTCAAGAATATGTAAATAGTGGATATAAAATGCATAATATTGTACTTGACATGAAGGGGGTATCGCCATTTTTAATTAGTTTTTCTTATCCCAACTTCTTTCCTTGGGAATGTATCTATAATATATCAACTATCATAAGGCTCCTCATTTAGGAACCAGAAGTGAAAGATTTTAATTTAACACAAAGGCTAGGACAGGAAAGTTGAATAAAAATACTGCAGACAAACTTTTTATGCTTTAGTTTTTTCATTGGCCTACAGTAGAGTCTTCTTTGTGGTGTACGATTTTATGAATTTTGACAGTTACATATTTACCAATGCAATCGTGATACAGGACCATTCCTTCATACTAAAATTTCCCTTGCTGGCCCTTTGTAAGCAATCAACCTCAATCAACCTCTAAACCACTGTTCTGCTCTCTGTCCCAGTGGTTTTGAAATTTCTGAATGTCTTATAAATAGAATCATACAGAATTAGACTTTTAGTTCTGACCACATTTACTTACCAAAAAGCAGTTGAGATTCATTCATGTTGTTGCATGCATCAATAGTTGATTCCTTTCTATTACTTTATATGGCTTTACCACACAATTTATTTTTCTATTGACTAGTTGAAGGATGTTTGGGTTATTTCCAGTTTTTGGCAATTTCAAACAAAGCTGCTATCAACATTCACATACAGGTTTTTATGTGAACTTAAGTTTTCATTTCTTTTGGGCAATTACCTGGGAGTCAAATGGCTAGGTAATATAAGTACACACTTAACTATAAAAGAAACTTCCATACTGTTTTCTAAAGTGGTTGCAACATTTTGAATTTTGACAAGCAATGTACAAGAGTTAAAGTTCTAGATCTTTGACAGCACTTGGCAATGTCAAATTATCCCCCCTGCAACATTCTAACAGATATGCAGTGGTAACTCATTGCAGTACTATTTTAAACATCCCTAATTAATAGCAATGTTGTGCATTTTTCATGTGCTAAGTTTCCATCCATTTATGTTCTTTGATGAAATGTCTATTCACATATTTTGCCCATTTTTTAAAATTCTGTTGTTATTTTATTGTTGAATTCTGAGAACTATTTATATTTACATGTTCCAGATAAAACCCTTATCAGATAAATAATTTATAAATGCATTCTCCCATTCCATGATTTGTCTTTTCATTCTCCTGACAGTGTCTTTTGCAGGGCAAGAGTTTTTAATTTTGGTACAATCTAATTTATCTTTTTCTCTTTTATGGATCATGCTTTTGGTCTAGCATAGTATTAGTCAGGGTTCTTCAGAGAAACAGAACTAATATGATATGTATATATAGACAGAGACTTATTTTAAGGAATTGGAGTTATGCAGTTATGGAGACTGGCAAATCCAAAATCTTCAGGTGGGCTGTCAGGCTAGAGACCAAAGAAAGAGCAGTTCAAGTCCAAAGGCCGTCAGCTGGATGATTTCGCCCTTGGTTGGAGGAGGTCAGTTTTTTGTTCTATTAAGACCTTCAACTGTTTGGAGGAGGCCCACTCACATTATGGAGGGCCATCTGCTTTACTCAAAGTCCACCAATTTAATTATTAATCTTATCCAAAAACATCATCACAAGGACATCTACAATAACATTTGACTAAATATCTGGGCAAAGTTGACCATCACATCATCTCACCCTTTTTGCCAAATCAAATAGCACAAGGCATTTTTATGTTTTCTTTTAAAAAGTTTTATATTTTTAGTTTGAGAAAGCAGTTCAGTTTAAAACTTTTAATTCCAAAATATATTTTCAATAGCAACAAGATCATAAACATACAAAATTTAACAAAATATATGCAAGATTCTTGTGATAAAAATGATAAAACTGTATTGAGAGACATTAAACAAGACCTAAATAAATGGAGGAGACCTAAATAAATAAATATTCATGAAAAAAGAAGAGCTGACATGGTAAAAATATGAATTCTCCACAAATTAATCTATAAAGTTCTTCAAAGCCTCAACAGAGTTTTATGTTTATTTGTTTGTTTGTTTATGGAACTTAAGATGCTGATTCTATAATTTACACTGAGTATAAAGAGAACAGAGTAGCTAACATCACTATCTGGAAACACCTTATAGAGAGCAAGACCTATGTAAAAACTTTATTAAGATATTCTAGTATTGGTTCAAGAATAAAAATGTTAGCCAATGGAACAAAACAGAAAGCGCAGATATGGAATTATTTAAATATAGACATGATAACAACATGGAAAAAATGTAATGGGAAAAGGGCAGTCTGCTTCTCCCTCTGCCCCTCCACCCTCTCACGTGCTCTCTCTCTCTCTCTCTCATATAAATAAAATAAAATCTTAAAAAAAAAAAAGATTTACCAATTGACATCACATTTATACCAGTATTCTGCAGCACACTGGCAGATTTCTGACCAAAGATGAATCCTGGTTGAAGTCATTCACACCATATTGTAAGAACTTTTATGAATAGCCATTCTCAACATTAGTATTGTAGAAGTCAAAGTACAGATATTGCTTAAGTGTGGAACTGGACCTGAGGCTCTATTTTTCTACAGTTAAAACCAGTATCAACTATTTACTTTAAACAGAACAGGGCCAACAACTACAACATATGGATGTTGTTGATTTTAATTTGTAAAATTTTTTTTTTTATAATTTGAAAGTCCATGCATTGAATTAGGTACACATAGCTTTAAAGCTGTATCAACTGAACTTTGCTGTGATGTGCATGGAATTAAGGTCTTAATACTATTTGGAAGCAATGACCAAGTTTGTGACTGTCATTGAAAATACATTATTTAATATCTACAATATGTAGCACTGGGCCACATGATTTAAGAGTTAAATCCTGGACTAAATGCACCAGTAATTATTTCTGCTTTTGCTTTTTCTGGACATTCTCTTAACACTAGTCACTAGATAATATTTCAGTAGTTCCACTCAAGGAAAGAGCAGTATGAGTCTCAAAATGATTACGCAAAAATGAGTAATCATTTCTCACTTCGGACTATTTAACTGTCTTTTCCTATAAGCGGAGCTCTTCAGGAAGAATGTATGTTAGTAATACTTGCCTATATTTGCATAGTATTTACAGTTTGCAAAGCATGTACACCCACTTTTACATGTCTACACCACTCCATTCCAGGAAGGCCTCCAGGCTAGATTCACACTCCTCATAAGGACGCCATGGCATTGCATTGATCTCTAACTTAATCTCCACACATTGTTCAGTGATTTGATGAATGTTGTGTCTTGCCCCAAAAGCTGTAAACTTCTTAAGGTTAGGATCATGTTGTATTAATCTTTGAGTCCCCGGGGCTTAATATTGTACCTGGAATATTTTAGATGTTTAATTAATATTTGATGAATGAATTAAATTGGAAAATCTACAAAACTCTGTGTGAATTCATAATCTTACATTTCTCAGCAGGGTTCTGGTCATACTAAACATTTTAAATAATGATACTGGCTTTGTGGGTGTCACTGTTTTAAATTGTCATTATTTAAAATAAATAATAAATATATTAAATTGAAAGGTCTTTGATAAATTAACCCTCATGATAGGACTACATATGCTAATTTTTTATATATATTTTAGTTTTCCCTGGAAATGGCCTTAGTCCAATATTGGTTATAGTAGATAGATAGATACATACATAGATAGATAGATAGATGTAGATATAGATAGACACTATGTAAAGTTAATATTTTTGTTACTCAATTCAATTTAATAAACATCCATTGAACACCTACATTGTATAGTATGTTATATACTAGAAACTATCAGCATGACAAAGATGTATACTATGTACTTAAAAGCAGCTTAAAATTTAATAGAGAAATGTAGGGTATGATGTGACTGGGAACAAGAGTAAGGGTTAAACTAAATATAATGGAAAAAACTTGGAATCATAGAATAATCTAAATTAGGTGGCGGGTGGAGGTGGTAATAAGGCCTGGTTTCACAGAGGAGGGCCTTATAAATATTTTTGCATTAATATAAAATAATTTTACATTCATATAACATAAGATGTAAGATTTTATATTATGTATTGTATAAAATAATACTAATTTGAGTTGTGGCTTGACATTAAACATTGTTTATTTTGTTCTTTCCGACTATAACAATTTTCAGTTTACCCAATGTTTGAAGGCATTTCTGCACTTTGGAATGGACTTCTGGAACAGACACACTTGCAGTTTTTACTGCCTGTGTAGGACATGCACACGTTGAAGCTGGGAATTATTTTATAAGCAAGAATAGACTGAAAAATTTCTCCTTAAGTCGAGAGAAAAGATTCAGATTTTAGATTTT